CAGGAGGTGCGGAGCCCCAGTCGCCACGTCGCCTCATGCTGCACCCGGATTCTCCCGCGCCCGGACATCACTGGACGGCTAATCCTATCTCCTTTAGCAAGCTCAAGCTGACCAACAACACAATGGACGCTCAGGGACATGTAAGTACATGTTTATTGTTATTTGTGTAGGTTCTCAATTAGTCTGTGGATCTCATATGAATTTTTTGACTTACGCTTTTTGAGCATCGTGTCAAAATCGACAAAAAGATAAAAGCCGTAAGATACAAAATTACTTACGTATACTTTATAGGAATGGTTACATAGTTTTCCTTCGCTTGATAGGTTTCATAACAACCTTAGATCAAGTCATAATGAGGTCATCCATGGGTCTTATACCGATCTCAGTTAAAATTTTAATCTGAACAGTGCATGAGTAGAGTCGTGACCATGTCTCGTGCACGTCCATCATCAAAGGAAACGCCTACCGATACACGTCCCCTTTTACAACTTAACACGCAATCGATAATGAACTTTAGGCTCTTACAATAAAATTCAATAAGAAAAAATATCAATCGATTACCCATATATTATCGTATGATTGCCTAAAATATGATACGGAATAATGAAACATATAACAAAAGTAATAAGGTCGATAAATACCTTCGTTCAAGTAAAATCGTATACTGCAGGGGTTCTGTTACAAAGGCGTTTGTACACACAAATAAGCATTGCATTGAGGCATGAAGTGGTCGTGTATTTAGACAGTGTTAATGACGGCTGAATTAATGATGTACAGTCGAGGACGTAATTCTCGTATCTATTTCAAAAACTTGTGACAGAAATACCCGCGAAATAATAGCTCTAATGGTGATTTTCTGTATAATTCGATACCAAATGGGTAGCGAATTTAATTATTTGACTATACTTTGACATGTACATTTCACAGTATTCTGTACGTAGTGTATACTGTCGAATGTGTACAAACACCTCTAAAATTCAGTGTCTCTTGGAATCACTGAATCAATGTTTGCTCGCGCTGTACACTTTTTAACACGACTGTACAACTTGATTGAATACAAGAATGTTTCATTATGTAGCTGACAATTATGTGAAAATACATTTAACTAACTATATGAAAATCTACAATAGAAGCTAATCTCAAATATTGATTCAAGACGCAAAGTTTACCTCGTATTTTTGTCATGTTTTAGTATTACAAAAAGCCTTTTTTATTCTTCCAAGCTATCCGTTATCAAAACAATCGCTTTTCACGGCTGTCTAAATAGATATAAACATCATATCGCGCACTATTGTGACTTGGTGGGAGTTGGGTTCATGGAAAAAATGCTCACGTCTTGCGCCTGATTGCCCATTTGATACACATCGAACCCACTGTTACTTGTATATTCATCACTGATATGAACCAAAATTATTACGATAAAACAGCTTAATTATAACACATTCCTGATAAATTAAATTTACATAGATAAATAACAATAATTTACTGAATTCTCATCTTAAATGATTGAATTCAAGCATCTAAAAATCTTGATTATTTATAATAATAAATGATGATGGATGGTTGTCAACAATCTTTAAACTGTAGGTACAAAGATTCAAATAAATATTTGGTACAAATATCACATTTTAAGAGGCAATAGCGCTCCAGGCGGCATCTTTGTCCAGTACAACAATGGCAGATTGCCGGGAGCCAGAGCAGTCAAGCGAGAAGTATCCCCATCGCTTGTACACTTGAGCTCATGCCACCTGAAATAAAATGGTCCCTATTATACACTTTGTAACCTTTTTTACTAACACTTTATTTAAAAAACCAAAAGAACCGTACACTGTTTTATGTGGGAAAAGGTTGTAATTACAAAAGGGATTAGTGATACCCGAAATTACTTACATTGAAAGGATTATAATGTTTAGTTGTAAGTGAGAACTCATTTAAGCCGCTGATAAACTAATAGGTAAAGTGTTCATTATTGATTTTAAATGTTCTTTTATACTCAGAATAAATTTAAAGTGAAAGTCCGCAGTCCTAATATTAGTAGAACTTTAGATTTGTAGTCTTGTGAAGTACTAGATGTTCCTGTGCGGCTTTATCCGCATGAAATGATGAAAGTTATATTTTATTGTTTACATTTATCAAATTATCTATTGCAAATGTTAAAATACCAATTACCTTACTATGGCAATTTTGCTTGCTTGATGTTGGCAGCAGCTTATGGTCTCTTTCCCACATTAGGGTTTTTATCCAAAATATTTACCCCCTAAGTTTAATGGCGTGAAAATATATAGCCTAAAACGTAACGTAAGTATAGGACATTTTATTAAAAAAAAGAATTATTCAAAAGTATACTGTAATTGTTGACATCTTAGGCAACAAAATGTGTGTTTACGCTTTATTATAATAGTAAAGCTAATAAACCTTCAAATAAATTAAGAATGATTTTCTTCAAATAGTTTAACAAAAACTATATCATTTAAAATGTATATGACAATTAACTCATGTAAAACATATTATTATCTTGTAAGCCAATCGCCGACGGCGCATGTGACCCTAAAAGCAGAAAAACTGTCCCCCACAACACAACCCCATCTTATCTTACATATCTTTTCACGCTCCTAAAACCTTGTTTTTTCGTACAAATTAAAAATAACTAAAGATTAAGATCTGTTGGTTGGCAAACATCAGGCAAACATATCAAATGTACTGAAATTGATTCTTATCGTATCTGACATTTTTAATACTGTTATAAATATTTGCAAAGCTTTTATGATGATTTTACATACATACAACTTTCAATAACAATATATTTAGGCGTGATTTTAGCATCTTTACACTTATTGAACTTTAAATTCTTTTTAAAATGCTCTTATTTATATTTTGTTTCAAGAAGGCTACACAATAAATGTTGTTGTAGCATAGATACAAATAATGCTTAATTCTATACTTTATTCTGTTAAAATTCTTTGCATAAGTCGTAGCAAAATATAATAATAACCTATATATATATACGAGTATGTACGTTTTTATCGTGATTCGTTGATATCTTTTTGTTTGAGAAAAATGAAACGTCAATATCCATTATTTTATTATTATTATTATTTATTATGACATGAAGACGTCTAAAATTTCACAAAAACCATTAACGTATTTTAATCAAAGAATATTCAGAATAAAATATCAAATGGTCAACTCTTTTTTTAAATCGTCAAAACGGAAAGTTATAGTCGTTTTGTTATTTTATTGTTATATAAAATGTATTATTTTACAGAATAATTAGTTAAAAACGTTTTGGCTATTTGTGATTATTATATTCTACATTTCTAAAACAAATCTGATATAAAAAGTAAAGAATTAAAGTAGTTAAAAACAAAACTACAGGACGTCCTTTTCCCACTGTCATATTCCACATAGACTTAGTAAACTAAATCATCGAAAAACTAAGAATCAAAAACCTTTCCCCTAATATCGCGCACTTCAATCTGATTTGATCGAACGCATATCCATTTGATGGACGAGCTTCCGTATGCAGTGATACGTCTGTCAATCTGTCCGTCGCACCTCGGGGAACATGTGAACACATTTGTCAGAACACTATCTGTACATCAAACGAAACACTATGCGTTTACACTATCGAAACACCCGCACGGAACATGTTGAATTGTTTTTTAAAGAATTCAAATCCATACTGAAATTATTTTACCCGTAAATTTAATTTTATTTTAACGTGTGAATAAAAGTTGTTGACATAAAAATGCATAATTATTATTAGCCAATTAAGTTATTAGGATACATTACTTCAATCTCAATTTGTAAAAACTTACGCAAAAAAACGTAAAATGAACATAACCTTAAATAGTATAGGGTAAAGTGGCACCCATTCGAGACGAGAAGTAGCTGCATTTAGCGATAAAAAAACACCAATTAGTGCGTCTAGACAATCTTATCTTTTATTAACAATTATCGTCGCCTTCGCGGTAAACGATTAAAAAAAAGATATTTATTTGAAAGCAATTTACATGAATAACAAACATCTGTACTTTACACTATTGAATTGAACAATTTTTGACTTAAATTAAATGTAAAAATAGATAAATATACGTCTGTAAATATAAATTTCTAACGTTATGTAAATATGTATTTTAATGAAAGGCAAAAGAATAAGTGAAAGTAGAAATTACAATAAAAAACGGCAGTTTTAACAATGTATGAAACCCTTTACGCCTCAAGAGGTCGCTAGCGCAGGTAGTCGATTTTCGCGCGTCAAGTGTTCTAGATAAGGGCCTATTGCAGACGCCGCCCGCCGCCGCCCGCCGCCGCCCGCCGTGCCGCCGACGCGACATCTGACGCCGGACTTAACCAACAAACTTCTATCGGCACTAATTAATTTTGCAAAAACTTTTCTCCATTAATTAGCATTTTACATACGGATTTTTGTTTTAAAAAATCTAGATATCAAGTTTTGTGAACAATCGTTTAACGGTTAATACAAAGAAATTTTATTGACTATAAAATTCCTTGAGATGAGAAATCAACCGACGATTATCACCCACATACGACCAAGCCTATGTAATAAATGTCTAAAGTTATAATAAATTTCGTTGATTCTTACAACGAGAATTCTTTTATAAAGTTTTTAAAATTCGTTTTCGTGAACAATTCATTTAATATACGTTTGAACAAATTTGCACATAGAATGGTGATTTTATTTGTTACGTATATTTTATGCTTATCGAGATTCGTTGTTATTTCATCGTAATATACTCGGTTTCTTTGAAAACTGATGCCATCTTAGTCTCCTATAGATATTAATTACATTAAGTATGTAATTGCGTAGTCCAACTTCTCTTTTTGGATGCAGGACATTTTAAATTATAGTTATGAAAATTTTTCACAAAACTTTTTCTTATGTTAATGTAATGTTTTTTCAACAGATGGTGCTGACGTCGATGCATAAATACCGCCCTCGCGCGGTGGTCGTGCGAGCTCGTGACGCGGCCGCGCTGGCGTGGGGCGCGCCGCACGCCGCATTCTCCTTCCCAGAGACTGAGTTCATCGCTGTCACCGCCTATCAGGTTTGTACCGAACTGACATCACTTTTACGAAAGACGAAAGCAATCTAACATATTTTATGTCGAACAGCCTTAAATTGTGTATTATAGTCTTAATGGAAAGTAAAAAAGGATTTTGTTTGTTTGATATAGACAGAGAACTCTCCCAATTACTAAAGCAATGAAACAAAAGAAACAACATTTTCTTAGCATCGAGTGAAAGTATTGTATCTTTTCTTAATTGCTTGATTATAATACAAGTCGTGTAATTAAAGTACCAAAAATCAACAGTTCCTTATTTTTTCGTCTTATTGCTTAGTATCAAATCTAAATCAGTGGGAACTCCGGTACAATACAGTCACACTTATGATGTTCCAAGAAAATACCCTAGCATTCTTAGAACGGGACGTGATTTGCACTTATGCGTACGGCAGATTTTTTACACTATACTACAGGCGCCAAAGCTTTTATGGTGGAAGTCGGGCAAAAAAAATAAAAATAGCGGCGCCTATCGGTCACTTGCAGTGCGTTAGAAAAACAAAGGCAGCTAATTTAGCTTCTCTTCTATACAAGGCGGTATTGTTTCACTTGATCTAACATAGATCCGTTACAATTTAACAATCACTTTGTATTGTATCGATAACACGGCATTCTTCACTGCACAAGAACCGTTACGCTTCTGAAGATGCCACTACTGGTTCTTATCTTCAAGTACTTTTGTTAAGTAAAATTAGGGTGAAGTTCTTAATATTTCGAGTGAAACATAAGTGCAGTGAAAGGTTTTCTAATTGCAGTTACTAATCTTGTTCTGGAAAAAAGTCTTTATATTTGCAACCTGAAAAGTAATATCAAGCACATTCTAACTAAAGGACGCATAAAATGTGATTTATTAAATAAGGTCACACGTTGTTATCATTGATATCATTATATTAAAAAATGTAAAGCAAATTACGTGATGCATTTAATAAGATTTGTTAAATCCATACACACTTTTGTATACTGAGGACACTCCCGCTGCGCTGCGTGTTGCACAGCGGCAAAGCACAAGGCGCGGTATTGTCGCGCCTCGTCCTCGCGTCGTCGTCGGCGCTGCGGCTCCTTGCATAATCCACTGAGCGGTAATTAGGTCGCGTCGGCTCCTTTGCGCGGCGGCTCCCTTCATGTTGACTGCAGCGAGGCGCGAACACATCTCGCTTCCATTTACATTAACAATTACGGCGACCGGCCGCTTTGTGGGATAATCCGAGTCGTCCGAGTAACGGTACCGGCGGACAATGCCGCACGGCGTATCATTGCGCATTATCCCTCGCCGGACTATCGTTACATGGTTTACCCATTGTTGCGAATTACCGACGAATTATAAACTTCCCTTTGCCACCGACCGCCTCTTTATTATAAAGCGTAACTAGGTGGCATACAAGCACAATGCCACGCAGCGGGACCCCTACTGTTTATTTGTAATGCCGTGTCCCTACTTACGTCATCGTTTGTCAACACCACTCCGGACCTCTACAACTTTACGCCTGATATCGTAACTAAATTTACTCAGGACCTAATTACACATTTCTAAAAGTCAAAGAAAAAACTGGCGACAGTCGCCAATATGTGAAACCGTACCGCAAAAACCATAGCAGACTAAAGGTTTGTGGCATGATGTCACTCGCGGGCGACAGGGCGGGCTGGGGGCGGCGCCC